ACTTCTTGCCAAGTAGGTCGACGATTTTCCTCTTCCCATTGTCGAATATTCTTTAAAACGGGAACGTTTTCTAGTTCTTCCTTAAGTTTAACAGGGACCCACTCATCCTTGACAACTATTGTTCGTCGTACTGTAACTTCGCGGCGGCGGCGGCGGACAAAACATCACCAATCTTTTGTGCCGGACTCTTTCATTTCATGGTCGCGAAGTCCATCAATAAATGCTTGAACGGCAAAATATTCAATCATGTATTCTGGAGCTGATGGATAGACATATCTCACTATCTTTGCAATATCTAATTCGTATTCTTAAACAGTTTCGTTTCTGTTAGCGATTCTTTATCTGTGATTGATACAAATGTTTCAAGTGTTTGTGGAGGGACATCTAAATCGTCTTCTCGAAGGTCGATGGTCAAATTTACTGCCTTCTCTCGTTCATGCCATTCGTTTGCTCTGGCAGCTGTTTCGAATTGTTTAAGGTAATTGGTCCATGACATTTTCCCGTCGAAAGTTGGGGCTTTAACACGAGCTTACAGCTCCTTCCAATTTCAACTTTGACTCCACCTCATGGCACTTTATTTCATCGTCCTTGGCCTGGTCTACGTGTTCTATTCTATCTTCTTTTCCATTTCTTTTATTTTCTCCTCAACAGAAGACATTATTTTTCCTCAACGGAAGTCATCTTATTTTAGGAAGAAATATTAGACGAAAACTTATTTTCCATAGACGACATTTTGTTTTCCAAGTCGAAAGAAATGTCATCTTTTAAAGAAGAGATATCGGAATATTGGAAAAAAGTGTTGGTACAACAGTCACCATAGAAAATGGTAATAACGTAGAAATGACTATAAAAAATATAGGAATATTCGTTAGCAATTTTTTCAATTTTTTTATTTCTTCCATTTTTTTTCAATCAGTATCTTAATTTGATTAATTTTTGTTAGTATAAATAAATAAATTTTAGTGGTATTAGTAGATTAGTTTTGTTAATTTATCTTAAATTAACTTAATGTTCCATCGTTTTTTCTCTTGCTAACAATGTAAAATTTACCAATTCTCCCTTTTTCTCTTACCCCCTAGGCGTGCCTGAAGATGAAGTGATCGCACTTCAAAACCAGTCACAGTACTAAATACAAATCTTTGTAAGATAAAAAGCACATTTTTCTACCTTTAATTATAATTATGTCATCTGTGCGGAAAGTTATGGAATATGTAAAAGTGACACACGATCAATACATATTATTTTATAAATTTTCCAGTCTGCAATATCGTAAAATCGATCAAAGGGTTTTCGATCGATTGATACAACGGGTATATTATTTTTGAATGCATTTTTTACCCTGAAAAATTAATTTATTTTTAATGAAATATCTGGTATACAATATTTTTTTAATATTAAATACTACTGTATACACAGTAATATGATTTAAAATATCATGTTAATCCTCAAAATATTTAATAATTTATTTTATTAATTATATTCGTGATTAACTTTCATATTAAAGTGTTTTTGCAAGAACTAATAGTTGGTTGGCATAATTAATTACAATAAAGTTTTAATTATTATTTTTTTTCAAGTATTGATACCTAACATCTCAATCAGCATACTTTTTCCCGTTGTTGCGAACGTACATGGCACTTCAACCACCTTTTCAATTAACACAGTTATAATCAAGTAAATGATCATCACGATTTTTTCTATTGAATGATTTGCCTGCAGAGATAATATTGCTTTTCCACCTATTGTTGATCAAAACAGTACGAAACTTTTGAATCACCGCTATTTCAACATGATGAAAAGGCCTATTAAAGTTATTAAACAAAATAAAAACCTTGCTTCCGAAAATCGTGAATTCGAATGGCATCTAGTCATTACAAATATATTATTCTGATCCCGATCATTTAGTTGAGTTTGGTACACACTATGGATCACTCCATTTACCCTTTTAATGTTAATAAACTTTCAGCAAGGTATGCAATTTTTTATTTTTAAATTGGATATAAATTTGTTATTGAACTAATTTATGAAAGAAAATTTTCCACTAATTTAATTTTACAAATAAACAAAATAAGATTGCTTCAAGTTAAAAATACAAATTTTCTCAAAAAACTTTCTGTTTAGTTGGATTCCCACTTTACGCGGAGTCCTTTTTTCTAGATTTCATATAAATTAACTTGATAACGCTGCTTCAAATGATGCCACAAAACGTAACCTTGAAAATATATTCATTAATATTATACACATTGAACTTTGTGCCCTGGATTTAAAAATAAATAAACGCCAACATAACTCGAATGCTTTAAAATTTGCTCTGCTAGTTTTCAACAAAATTATCTTGCCGCGAACGTGTTTAAAACAAGTTTTTAATGAGATGACCGCCAACTTTCCAAACCGGTGCATACGAATTCGGTCACAAAACTGCATCCCGGGCATATAACAGATGCAATTAAGCTCTTCGAATTTAAGGTTGCGATTATGCGTGTCTAAAAAACACCAGACAAAAAATAAATCCTACCTACATGGTTTACTTTTTGTTCTTTATATGGAGGAGTCATCGTGAAAAATCATAATTGGAATTGAATGTGAAATTTCTTTGTGACGAAATAGCGTGTATGAAAAAGCGCTAGAATGGAATAGCGCCCATTAAAATACCGTGAGTCAAGACCTTGAAGCTATCGCAAAAATTTTATACATAATATTATTTAAAAAATAAACTTAACTAATTTACCTAACCTGTGTGGCCTGGAGACATCATAGGTATATAATAAATAAAATACTGGCCCAAGCACACTTTCTTGTGGCATGTCAGCATTTATTGAGTATTTAATTGTTCGCTGTGGTAGATATGATTCTAGTGGTTGGACATATTGCATCGGGGAATATTTCTTTATTTTAGATAGTAGGCCTTGATGCCACATTTTATCAAAGGTTTTTGAGATATCAAGAAATTCTACGCAACAATTTTTTTCTTCTAATGAATTCTCAATTTTATTTACTATGATATGGATCTATTCAATCATAGAATGTTTATCTCGAAATCCGAATTGATGGGACGAGATAAGTTGTTTTTTGTCGATTATTTTATTGTCTTCTTGGGAGTAATTTCTCAAATAGTTTTGATATTATAGGTAGAAGCGAGATTGGTATAATAACAATTTTCAATAATTAAGTCAATTAGAAAAATGCGTGAGCATCAACTAACAGCCTGACCTCACTATAGCACTCAAGGCGACCCATCATTTCGTTCTGCCCGGGAGAGTACCATCGACGGTTCGCTATTACCGCCATCATTTCCCGCACCCCCCACTCTTGACTGCCAATGTTCTTTAATTATATTACAATGAGTAATCACACAAAATTTGTTTACCTGCTAACAGGTATATAAAATGTTATTTCATTATGATTTTCCTGGTTAAGGTGCAGTTGAGGCTACAGCTCCCCTTGTAGGTTTGTCTCTAAGAAATAGCCATGTATTGGGCATGTGCAGCTGTACCCATACAACTGAATATGTAAAAAAATTCTTCACGTAACAGTAGTTACGTCCCGGTCTCTCATACATTTTTTCTGAGATGGAGAAGTATTTGAAGGTCGCTTTTTGGAACTCCATTATCTTTCTTGGTGGTAAATGGATGTTGAGAATTCAATACCTTTAGAAATCTTACAATTAGTGGGGAATAGGTGAGGAGAATATCAATCGTGCGAAAGTCTGTGGTTAAGAATAGATATGGAGAACTTCATCGGGCGGAAGTCCGTAGATATGAGTAGATATGGAGAACTGTAACCAAAAGGAGCTCCATGGTTGTGAATAAATATGGAGAACTTCAATCGAGCGGAAGTCTTTAGTTAAATTTAATTGTTCAGTATGTGTGTCATTGAAGCAGAACTACTTCATTTTCTCGTTTTTCTACATGCCGAGGTTTAGCAGTTGAATTCGCGGGAAACGAATCATTGGTTTGTACGTCTATCATTAAGTTTGGCAAATGGAATTCATTTTCTTGTTTACCTTTATGTTAAAGTTTGCTTCTTCTATGAATTTTTCAAAATTTTAAACTTTTGCTCGAAGGATCAAAGATAATTTTATAATTAATGCTTTTTTCTTAATTTGCACCTAAATTTATAACGTCACAAAATAAACAAAAATAATTTAAATTTACATAAGAAAAATATTCCAATTTCGATCTCCAGTTCAATGTTTTGAAAATGATTTAAAAATACAAGTCAGCATTTTTTTTACAATATAAACAATGAACTTGAAGTGAAATTGGAACAAGTTTATAGTAACTACATATAAAATAAATATTTAAATTAAATGAAAGAATTAATTTCATATATGAGATGTGATATGTTGAACATTCCGAAATTGGTAAATCGAGTTTCATCAGCCCATAATATTTTCTTGGAAAAATTGGCATTTTGAATGTATTTGCCGATAAACCTTATACTATCCTAGTCTTATATGGATGGTATTTATATACGTCTAGTATTCGATGGGCAGATGATTTGTATTGTAACACAGCTTCAGTTCTCTCATTTTCAACAGCATACATTACTGGGTTTGCAAAATTTCTATAATTCAACCAATTTAATACCAATTCCTTAAACTGTCGTACTTTTGGTTGATGCTGTTCAGGAAATTTATTTTTACAACTGCTTTAAAGTTTCTGTGGGCTACAATTTATGTTTCTATCAATAACATGTCTAATTTTTCTACTTTGGTAAAATTAAGAGCCATCTCTAATGGTCGGGTATTTGAAAATTTAGAGAAGTAATTTTAGTTTACAAGTATCAGCTGAGTTAAGATGTAATTTAGTGCAACAAGCAATCGCGATATGCGAGTCAAAATGTACTGTTTAAAAAATGAAAAATTTTTCTTTTTGCATGCTTAAGATACCGACAATATAATTTTGCGTTCAGGTCTATATTTTTGAAACTGTATTTATATTATTTTTTGTGTATGTATCTACTTCAAACAAAAAAATATTTATAAATATTTTTATTAGGCATAATAGTCACCACAGCACTCCCAGCCACTATGATTATACGAGAAGATCTCATAAAAGAAGGCCAAGTCACTTAATGGACATTTGGAGACCTAATTATGATGAAGACGAGTAAGTATAAACATATACAACGTCATTAAAGTTGTTTTAACTTGGTTGTGGTTTTAAATTACATTAAACTCCTTTTTTGATTTAAAAATCTTCAATTTAACCATAGACCAATCACAAAGACACCTACAGAAAACTCTTCAAAAATTATTAAGATAAACTTAAAAGCATATCAAAAAAATCTCTATGAAAAATCACAAAAAATTATAAAAACATACAAACTCTTAAAACAAATTCACAGAAAAATACTAGACAACCAGAAAATGATATAAAATAACTAAAATAAAATCTTCTGGGACATTCCTAAGAATAATACCCAGATGGAGTTGTATTTTAGAGGTCTTAATGCAATTTATCTATCAAATTCTATTTAAACCAAAAATGCCCTTAATGGGGTAGACCGCTATTATCGATATTTTGGATGGTTCAATCCCTTTATTTTTAAAATGTCTCCATTTTCTCCTATCCTGCACTTTATCCTGCCCTTTCATCAGTACTGTCCTGCATTTACCTTCTTTCGCTCCCTTCAACTATCTTCATTTTGGTCATCCACCTCTATTGGGTCCCATTGTAACATTGAACAAACCAATGTTCCATTTCCATCCTCTCCAAATGTGTCCTAACCATCTAATTGACTATTATTTGTTCTCCTATTTCAAGTTTCCTATCTCCATTTCTGTTATGATACCCAAATTTACTCCAATACTTTTAGATGTTGCCTTATTATCTAATTTTATTATTTTGGCTTTTTATTGCTTTATTTTGCTTCATTTTTCCCAGTTCTATAATTTTTTTCAAATTTTTTCTTGTTTTTGCAATGACTTTCCCTTCCCCTGTTATCAGCTTTCCTTTATTATTTTTCCTCGTTACATATTCTAGTGAACGATTGAACGGAGTGGTTGATAGTGAATCTTTTTGCTGTACTTCTTTATTAATATCAAATTTTTCCGTTATTTCTTTTTTGTTTTTAATGTTCGTTTTAGTTTCTTGCATCGTCATTGTTTTTAATCCCCTTAACTTTTTTTTGGTAATCTTAATTTTTGGACCAGTCGCATTACTTAAAAATAAAACAATTGATAACTAATCTATGTACACTTAATAGAAATGACATCAAAATTTATTTAATTGAATACTATACACTCTAAATGCTTTTATCTAAAACATGTATGCATAGTTTAAATAAACTAATAATTTTTTCCTATTAAATTTGATAATCTTATCTAGAAAACAGTAAACAAATTAAATCTATTTGTTCTAGGAACCGAAGAGACAGATATACATTCAGCAGATCCCATTCACCAAACAATAGAAGATATGATTTGCAACCCGTAACATTCATAGACCGTCCTCCTAGTAGTAGATTCAAGAAACATTCAGAGTTTAATAAAAACAAAACTTCTGCAACAAGCACCTATACAAATAAAACCGTAAACGCCGACACCAAAGGAAAAAAACCCTCGAATCCTAGCGCTAGTGCCTCGACGGAAAGGCAATCGAATCCAAAACCTAAACCAGACGAACCTAAGAGTGTATCAGATGAAAAAATTGCAGAAAGTAAAAGTCCGATTGTAGAAAAAGTTATCGAAACACCTGATATTACAGTACCTGAACCACAGGTTACTAATAAAATCGAAGCAGCAACTACCATTTTGGACATTTCTGGCATTTCTAACATTTCTGACGTTTCTGGCATTTCTGACATTTCTATCGACAGTCTTGTGAATTCTTCCCCAACCGGTAAAGAAAAAGAACTGGAAGATTCACAAACAAAGCAGATATTACAGGAAATGCCATCTGAAATATCACCAAAAGCAAAAACTGTTCCACTTCTAGTTGACGATCATGAAAAAGCAATAGATATTGAAAAGGCTTTAAAAACAATCACTAATCACTCTGATTCAACCACAGTTGATACCGATAAGACGAAATCGTGTTTAGAAATTTCCTCTGAGGCAGACGATATTATAGTTATAAATACAGAAGATACATATTTATTTACTCTGGATGATATTGATAAGACCAGGTCGTTTTTAGATTACAACGAAGTAATAGATATGGATCTTGGATCGCCTCTATCTTTCATAGACCAAACAAATACCCCTAGTATAACCCAAGACAAATCGTATTTAGATTACAACGAAATAGTAGATATGGATCTTGGATCGCCTCTACCTTCACCTTCCATAGACCAAACAAATACCCCTTGCATGACTCAAGACGAGTTGTTGCGTCAGTTAAATGAAGAGATAGGCGAAACTACTAGCGACAATATTACAACGAACCAATTAAAGGTCGTTCTTGATAGCAATTCTAAAACCAGCTCTCCATCACGTAGCGTTGATGATGCAACAAAATCCAAAGTAACCAAACGCAGTTTATCTCAGACCGATGGATCTGATGATATTAAGAAACGCAGACTTTCTAAATCCAATAGAAGATATTCCACATACGAAAGAGCTTCTCCTCCGAAAATCAAAGGGAGAAGAGCTTCAGTTATTACAGATCGCCGAAGTTCTACATCTTCCGAATCGAGTGGCGGTGCGAGAAGTAAAAACAAAAGTTCAAAAGAAACAGTTGAACCAACTGAAGAAGTTAAAATCAATCCGTATTATCCAAGCCTCTCGCAATATAAGATTCCAAAGAAAAAACCCGTTTTTTCCAGTCCGGATAGACCTTTTTGTACGAGCATTAGCGAATTGTTTGGCGAGTACGATAAAGATGACAGTACGAAATCGCCAACTTCACAGGAAGTTAATAAAGATACTGGTAGAACAAAGAAAAGTTGGGATGAATATTCCAAACCCGAACAAAAAGATAGTAAAAACCTAACAAATAAACATATAACTTCACAGGAAGTTAATAAAGATTCCGGTAGAACCAAGAAAGGTTGTGATGAGTACTCTAAACCGGAACAAAAAGATAGTAAAAACACAAATTCACGAGAAGTGAAAGATGCCGGTAAAAACAAGAAAGGTAGCGGTGAGTATACCAAAACCGAACAAAAAGATAATCTAACAATTAAACAGGATACCGCAAAGACCAATAAATGTACAGATTATTCGAAACCCGTTAGTATCAAAGAGGCAGTCATCGCATCTAAAAAAAAATTAAAAGTAGTTGTTACAAAAGATATTAAAGTTAGTCAACGAGCTAACAATGTAAATGAACCTACAAAAGCAGCGATAGCCAATAAGGCAAAGGAAGTTTTGAAGGGTAAAATTATTCAAAAAAGTTGCACCGTAAAAGACGCAATTAAAACAACTGACGAACAAGTTCATACGAAAAAACCTAAAAGTAAACCTAACACTAGTGTATCATCAAAGAAAGATGCTATTAAAAGCGATCAATCTAAACATTTGGTTGTAAAGGAAAACAAAAAACGTGTCTTAGAACCTAATAATCCAGTCAAACAAGATTATACTAAATCAGAAAAGAAAAATTCCCTTTCTACAAAAAGAATTAGTAAAAACGATAAACAAAAATCTACCAAACTTTTAGAAGAACCCAAATCGCAAAAAATTCCCGAAAAACGTCGTAAAATTAATGCCGGATCGAATGATGCTGGTGAAGATAAGTGTCATTCCAAACAATCAAATTTAGAAAAACAGGTAGAAAAGGTTGATAAAAATCAAAGTAAAGTTAAAGACAACGATAAATGTGTTTCTCTTGCTGACGATTTATTATCTACAACTTCAAATCAAAAACATGAACCTAAAGATAAAATTAATACACCGAGCGATAAATTTGTGACGGACGATTTATTATCTATATCTACCAATCAGAAACATGTAACTAAAGATAAAAATGATGCACCAAGTGATAAATGTGTGGCTGACGATATATTATCTGTAACTGCAAATATAGATTCTGAACCTAGAGATAAAATTACTACACCGATTGAAAAATGTGCTCTGACTGACGATTTGTTATCTATAACTGCAAATCGGAAACATGAACCTAAAGATAGAATTAATACACCGAGTGATAAATGTGCTCTAACTAACGATTTACTATCTATAACAGCAAATAAACATTCTGAACCTAGGGATAAAATTAATACACCGATTGACAAATGTGCTCTGACTAACGATTTACTATCTATAACAGCAAATAAACATTCTGAACCTAGAGATAAAATTAATACACCGAGTGACAAATGTGCTCTGACTGATGATTTACTATCTATAACTGCAAATAAGAACCATTCTGTTCCTAGAGATACAATTAATACACCGAGTGACAAATGTGCTCTAACTGACGATTTACTATCTATAACTGCAAATAAGAACCATTCTGTCCCTAAAGATACAATTAATACACCGAGTGACAAATGTGCTCTAACTGACGATTTACTATCTATAACTGCAAATAAGAACCATTCTGTCCCTAGCGATACAATTATTACACCGAGTGACAAATGTGCTCTGACTGACGATTTATTATCTATAGCTACAAATAAGAAACATTCTGAAACTAGCTATAAAATTAACACACCGAGTGATAACTCTGCTCTGACTGACGATTTATTATCTATAACCGCAAATAAACATTCTGAACCTAAAGATAAAATTAATACACCGAGTTCAGATGAAAAAGTTGACGAAACTCTTCCTGATAACCGTGATGAACATTTAGAAGCACAGCATGCAAAATTATTGTCTCTAGTGTCATCTATTTCGCGTGCAGAAAACCAAATCCTTACTGTTGAAGAAACTTCCGTAGATGCAAATAAAATAGATTTTGTTGCTAAATCGTCAGATAAAAAAGATCCAAACGATGCCACCATGATCAGTCCTGCGAAAGAAAGCGAAAGTTTGGATTCAATAAAATTGCAAGAGTTAATGAACAAACTGAACAAATATTTTCCTGTACTACCGGAGCAAGAAGTACCCAAAGCTTCCGATCATCAAGAAACTACAACAAATATTACGGAAGACGATAAATCTGAACCAATTAAAAAAGAAAATCCCTCAAATTTGAGTGACATTCAAATCAAGACAGCCGTTAAATCTGAACACTCAGAATTGGAAAAAGTACAGCCTCTAATTTTGGATGCTTTTCCGCCATCTGAAAAGCCACGAATGTCTACAGTCGAAAGCGATTGCATCGAGGTAGCTTTCGTTATGGATAGTCCAGATTTACACGAAAATGTTGAGATCGTACTCGAAGAGAAAAAAGATAAGGAAAACGATTCACAAGACGTCATAGAAATTAAAGAGGACATAACCGTTATCGATCTAACAGACGAACCAGAAGAAAATGTCGCGAACGATGATTTACTTCAAATTATGGAAGATATAAACAGCGATAGTAAGGAAAAGATTACTTTGTATAGAAGCGAAGAATCGCAAGATAATACCGAAGAAGTGCTGGCTATGTCCGCTTCCCTACGGCCATCTGCGGTTTTACATACGGATACGAAAACCGAACCGATTAAATCAGAAGTCAATTTCGATCGACAAATACAAACAGAAAACGAAAGTTACTCAAACATTTCAAGTCCTGAATCAGTAGCTACAACGCCTAATAAATCTATAGAAGATGTACAAGCTAAAAAACAGAACCTCGTGAACAGTCGCAGGTTTGCTGAAAGTACAAACGACGAAACTAGCAATTCGAACAGTAGTGACGCGTTACCGCCGCCTTTACTAAAAGCAAAAACTTTCTTGAGCGTCAACAAAAACTTGTTCGAAAAAGATACTAATGATGCGACCAGAGAAAATGGTGATGCATTAAAAAACCGCGTCGAAATATCTACAGGGCAGACTTCATCCAGTTCTTCCATACTTGTTAGAGCGCTCGATATGGCCGATGTTTCGCATCCTACATCTTCACTTCCTGATGTAACTGCTAATCAGACTCGAGGAGTACTTAATAACGAACAGGAGCGATGGATGGGGAGTGATGCATCTGCGTCAAGCTCTTCTATATCTAACGATGGTAATGTTCCAAATGGTGCTGTTTCAAGTACGGATCGGCCTTATGCGCCAAATTCTTCAGCTATCAGTGTGAGTGTACTTAGTGGTGTTCAAACTGATCGGACTCAGGAGTGGCCTTCGTCAGCTATCAGTGTACCTAACAATAGCATTCCAGCTGACAATGTTCAAGCTGCTCGGACCCAACAGTGGACTTCAACGCAAAGTTCCTCAGCTATCAGTATATCTAACAATGGAGTTCCAGTTGTTAATCAGACACAAGAGTGGGCAAGGAGTGGTGCTCCTGTATTAAATTCTCCATCTCCCAACGATACTGTTTCATCTGCTAATCCATTTCAAGGATGGAAACGGAGTTTTTCGGTTCCCAACGGTACTGTTACGCTTAGTACTCAGCCAGAGCAGTGGCCAGCAACCAGCGGTGCTTCTGTCTCAAGTGCGTCAGCTATCAGTGTCAGTGTACCTAAAAGTAGTGTTCCACCTGCTAATCGGACGCAGCAGTGGACAAGAACCGGTCCTTCGACTATCGGTGTCAGTGTTTCTAACGATACCGGTTCGGCTATTAATCAAACGCATGGATGGACGAGGAGTATTTACACGAATGCTGTTTCTTCTGTTAGCCAACAGCAAGGAATAATTCCGTCGGAGCAATGGCTATCGAGAACATTAAACGATATTCAGTCTGGAAGCAATAATCTAAACAGGTAAGTCTTAACTAATTTCTTTAGGTTGTTAATGTTATAATGTGGATTCAAAAATCGACCAGTGCAAATTAAGTTCAGGAGTAGTTTAACCTGTTTAAAATTTAAATTTAATTAGTAGTAGATTAATTAGTAAAAAGATGATTTGTTGAAATTTTTACTTGGAAAAAGGCACGGTTTACTTAAACATTTTCTTTTACCTTAAAATGAATGGAAATAAGAAAATAAGTAAAAGAAATATGAGTTTACTAGTTGCGTTTTAGGGTTAGTTCACTGTGGCAAACTCTATACTTCCCTGTGAGTCTGTCGGGGTAAAGAAAGTCCGGAAAGTTCTGCTAGTACAGTTCGGTTCGGTCAACTAGTTTAGCTCTGCTAGTTCAGCTCTGGTTAATTCAGTTCTGTTCAATCAAACGATATAACCGGGATTGAGCAATATAATCGGGGTAGAACAGAATAATCCGAAACATAACGGAACTATTTTTCCGGCACAGAACAAATTCGTCGGGACGAAATTAAGTTCCCCGTGACGATCCTGGATGAAAGATGCCCGCTCAGGCGATATATTTTTTTGAGAGTGGTAAAAAATCTTACATATGACGAATGGCCGCCCAATGACCAAACAGTATCGGATTCTTAACGACTAATAACTAACCACTCAGGAATCAAGTGGTCTTCTTCGGGACTACCTTTGACATTTAGCGTTGTTTTTGGACTCTTCCTGTTTATTTATTTGCTTTTTTTTATTGAATTCTCGCATCTGCTTCCTTAGCCTTCAATATTGCGGTAATCATGTAATATGTGTTGTGCCACTTCTTCTCGCTTTCTAACATATGTTTAATATTTGCTGATGTTATCGGTTCTTTTATTTCGTTGTTTGTTCTATGCTTATTGTGTCCCATCTTATACATTTTATTATGTGTTCTGCCGTGTCTCTAGCTCTACAGTAGCTGCAGTCCTCGTTATTATGCAATTTCATTTTGTACAGGTCTTTCTTAAAACGCCCGTAACCTAAGAGAAACTTAGATAGTAATCTACCTCACCATGTTTTTTATATACCCACGGTACCACTTCGTTTATTAGTGTCTTTGTCCATTGCGCTGCCATGGTTTTCTGGATCCATTCCTCCTGTCATATTTCTCCATTGAATTTTCTCTTGCTCTTTCGTTGGCTACTTTGTCGTACGATCGTTCGTTTACTTGGATGGCCTTCCTCGACACTCTTGTATCCGTCCGCAATTCTCAGTGCCACTTTTCTTTGCGTACTCTCCTATGTTTACTATTTTTAATACACTCTTTCCATGCTGGTGCTCCATACAGTACTATTGAGTTAACCATGTTGAGCCAAGAACTCTTCGTCTTCCTGCTTTAGTCCTTCCGATATTTGGCATTGACCGACTCAGAGCTGCTATTACACTGTCTGCTTTTTTAGCTACTTCTTTGATATGTCCCATGTTCATATTGTGTCCGATTTTTATTCCCAGGTATTTAACGCTCCTTTGGGAGTATATGTGAGTGTTATCTATATCAACAGTAAAAGTTTTTACCTACTAGGACAACTTCTTCCGTTTTGTGTGCTGCTATTTAAAAAAGAAAATAATCAGGCGAGATATTCGGAATTGAGCAATATTTGGGGTAAAATACAATTATCCGGAACAAATTGAATTCTCTGGGACGATCCTGGAATCTAGTCAGACGATATATCCGAGATTAATATTCGGGGCAGAATGCATTTATCCGGAATAACGAATTCTCCGGGACAGAACTAATTTTTCGGAAAACAAATTTTCTGGGATAACGTATTCGTCGAGACGAAATTGTTCCCTGCGACGATCCTGGATGAAAGATGTCCGGTCAGACGATATATCCGGGATTGAGCAGTATTCGGGGTAGAAAATAATTTTCTGGGGCGAAACGAATTCTCTGGGACGGTCCTGGAAGAAAGATATCCGGTCAAACGATATCCGGGATTGAGCATTATTCGGGTTAGAATGCAATTATCCGGAACCAAACGAATTCTCTAGGATGGAAAGAATTCTCCGGGACATGGTCGATCTTTAATGGAAGATGTCTGGTCAGACGATGTATCTTGGATTGAGCAATATTCGGATCAGAATATAATTATCCGGAGCGGAACAAATTCTCCGGGACGAAAGTTAAGTTCTCTTGACAGTCCTGGATGGAAGATATCCGGTCGGACGATATATCTGGAATTGAGCAATATTTGGGGTAGAGTATAATTGTCCGCTACGAAATTAAGTTCTCCGGGACGGAATGAGTCACTGACAAATATGGTACAAGCACACGCGATGTTACAGATGTATATTTTTAAAACACTAATGCTTTAGATAATTTTCAACCAATGAAAATAACGCAGATGGCCTGGTTCGTCAAAAGTCGCTTTAGAAAGAGGAAAAGCTTTGAAATTCAGCACCAATGCCAAAGATGTCTGAAATGTCTTAATGGTTGCGGGGAAAAAATGTTTCCAGTAATAATCTTCCTAATTCAGCTTCTTACGAGTGAATTTTGACTCCTAAAGCTGAATGAGCTTGTGTGGGGAAGAGACGGCTATTATTGGTCGTGGCACTCCGGGCGACTTAAAAAAAAAATAAGTAATAATAAAATACAAATTAAAATAACAAAATAAGCCTTAAAATGATTGTTGTTCACCGTCGATATCGAAGAAGTAATCCTTGGAATTTGGCTCCAAACGTTAATCTTCAGAATCATTATCGTTACCAATGGTAATAATAATATAATTAATATTTCATTCTTAGATCTAAATCTCAAAATTTGTCTTCTTTTATCACGTTCCCAATACATTTAGACCAATCGCCGCTAACAGCACTTACTGCGTTTTTGGGGTGAGGGTAGCCATATGTGAGTAGAAGGGATTAAGTGTAAGGGGTTAAAGAAAAGGTCCTTTATTTCTCACAAGTCAATTTAATTGGCGACCGGTTTCGAAGCTGTCACTTCATCATCAGGCACACCTTGACTATTTCCATAAAGGAAGCGCTACATAAAGTTTAACAAAACGAGTTAAAAAAGTCATATGTAATACAATAGTATTTTTTTAAAAAATATTTTAGGTTAGGTTAAACCGCGAGATGTCTGTTTTATAACTATTAAAAAATGCCGCGTAACCAATGCCGATGAAGGTGGTGTAATCGGATCGGCCGGCAGAAGTCGGGAATGAACAAATCCGATATCATAACGTATAATATTATCTTGCATTTTATTGCTTGTTAAAAACTGAACGAGAATATGTCTTTTTATTTTTTTGTACATTAGATGGTTGTTTCTTTACAGATCTACTGGTACCGCCAATAATGAAACCAATGCTCGCGGAAACGAAAACGATCTTTCGCAAGTCAATTCATCGTTGCTCCACAAGATGCCATCTTCTTCACCAAACCACAGCAGCTGGCACCAGTGCATGGCGGACTTCGTAGTTTTGGCGATAAAGAACCACATTTGGGCCAAACAGAATTTAAAGTCTTCGAATGTATGTCCGCTAACTCAAAAAGTAGAGCAGTTAGTTATAGACTTCAGATGGAAAATATATGGCGAACAAATTATGCGATTTTTAAGCAATACGATGATAGAGGAAATGGAACCGATAGAAAATATGGTCATGATCTACCAACGAGTGCAATCACACGGCCTATCATCTTTACCTCAATTCTTTTTATGTCTGGAAGCTATCATGTCGCAAACCAAAGAATTTTATTTGAATCATCGATCTTTGTGGAAATTTTATCATTTGGTACACGCTAATGCCAACGAAATTAGACTGAAAGCGAATAAATCGGGTAAGTAAAACAATAATCGCTCAAGAATGCCGAACGAACTAGTTTAACTTTTATTTTTCAGCTTCGCCACAGCCCCTTTTTACCCAACAACAAATTGGAACGTTGAATACCCAGATAGATTTTTGTAACATGGTAACGAAACATTATCAGATCAACAACGTACCAAGTACACCAAGACGAAGCAGTAACCTTTCGAATTCTATCAATCAAAAGTTTTCCACTATTCGTCATACAGCACCCGCTAAACAATCTAGATCGTCTGCGCAGGTCACTCGGAATGTGGTAGTAAATCAACAAAGTCCGAATATGTATAACACGATGCTACCGCCTCAGAGAGGAAATCAACAATCGGTGATTCAGCAACAACGCTTATCCGCATCGAATACACCACATCCTAATCCTATTCAGAGCCCAGTAAATAAATCTCCAAATGTTTACGTCCAGACGTCTAATAATCATATTGGAACTTCGACTCCATATTCTAACATATTAAAACAAATCATAAATGGAAAGCAACCCGTAAATATCAACCTACCCAATTCGGCCTTCAAAGTTCCATCTCAACTACGATCCCTAAGAAAGACCCTACCGTCCTCCAGTACGGCCGTTAACGAACCACAAACCAATGCACCCGTACCATCCTATGGCATGTCGCCGGCTTATAACGCACCGGTACAGAATTCGGCCAACAATAATAACGCCCATACGTTTAGACGCGACACTCCCAGATATGTTATGCCGTCCATGACCCACATAAAGAAACACATATACGCTCCGATGATGTTTACGCCCAATTATTCGACCGAACAGACTCCTGTTACCGAATCACCTGCGCCGCCGCGTTACCAATCGCCTAGTCATGAGTCGCCTGTTAACGTATTACCTAATAAAGAAACTCCGCCCGCCATGTCACCTATTATCGCATCGTCTAGGAATCAAATGCCTGTGACCGGATCTCCTATAAATACCCCTATCAACCAAACCTCCTTTAATGGACCGTTCGTCAGTCAATCCCCTATTAACGAACAACGAGATGCACTTCAATCTCCTATTAACGAACGAAGTTCACTGCAATCCCCTATCAATGACCGCGGTGCACTTCAATCGTCTATTAACGAAAGCAGCTCACTGCAATCCCCTATCAATGAACGAAGCGCAATACAATTTCCTATTAACGAACGAGGTACAGTTCAGTCTCCTATTAACGAACGCACCGCACTTCCATGTCCTATTACTGAACGAGGTGCACTTCAATCGCCTATTAACGAACGATGTGCACTTCAATCTCCCGTTAATGTTCCGCTGGCCAGTCCATCGCCTGTTAGCGAGTCTCCCGCCAATCGACCTAATACTGAATCGCCTATTAACGAGTCTGTCGACAGTGGCGAATCGTGCGATTCGGGGACCAAGGTGAACGAAGATGACGAGATGGTGATCGATCTTACGTGGTTGGACGATTTTGATTGTGACGAATTAAAGGAGGAAGTCGATTTTATTACTATAAAAAAGGAAGAATTCGACGAGGATGAAGTTGTATTGAACGAGGAGCAGTTCCCGTTGGTAAGTGATTTTTTTTGTTTACGGTTGTTTGGTGATGGGCATGAAATTCGTTGTATACTTATATTTTTCGGAATTGGAGGTAAATATTTTTTTATATATTTCGTTTGTCTCCAGTTGCGAAGCGGTTATGTCGCCATCATTTTTTTTTTGTATATACCAATTCATTTTCAGTTTTTAAATGTACAAATATAAATTCTGTTCACAATTTTATCTTGGTGTCTTTAAACTCCATATACATTCTATTTCTCATTTTTTTCCTAATATCTTTACCTGTTCCCTACTTTGTTGGGCAAGGGTTTCTGTTTTTACTCCCCCTGAGTTGCTGATTTAATCTTTTATTTTGTAGTATACTATAAGGAAGAGTTAGTTCTCAGAAAAGGCAATAAAAGTATGACCCTTAAAAGTAGTAAACCATAGATTATACAGTATTTATTTACGGATTATCAATTTTATTTAAATAGGTATAAGTTGTAGGTAGTAAACAATTTAAATCCAATGTACAAGGCGCAAAATCAAGTACCCTATGGAATGTTGTCATGGTTTCGTTTGTAGTTGACATCGAGTTTTTCTGTCAGTTGCAAACTAGATACTTGGGAAATTCATTATGAATCGATATACTCCTCGAGAACGTGCCGAAATCGTAAAATTTTTTTATTAAAATAATTCGTCGATTATCAGAATTTTTCCTGAGCGCCTTATCTCGGAAAACGCCGATATTGCATATCCGCCAAGGTCTCCCGATTTAACTGTTCCAGACTTTTGGTTATGGGATTATCTCAATGTTTTTGTATTTGTAAATAATCCTCGAACACTAGAAGCATTAAAAGATAACATCCGGGAAGAAATTGACAAAATACCACTTGAAATGCTTTAAAAAGAGCTCATTATTGCATTAATGCTGGGGGTGGCCATTTGGTCGATATTGTTTTTTACTTTTATATAAAAAACAAATAGGGGACTTTATTTTGCGCCACCTTGTACAAACATTACATTTTTGTTTTTCAATGACTTAATGTAGCAATTTAATTAGAAACAAAAAAAGGGTTTTTTGTTTAATTAATATATACATACATAAAAGCTGTTGTCTAAAATAGTTGAAAACATTCAACACAACCGTCTTTTCATAGAGTGTTAAATTATCTACTTTTAATTTTTTAAGTGGTTGTATACTATTAGGCACAGAAGAAAGTTGGGCCTATGAACTTTTGGTGATTATAAGGACTATTTTTTAATAGTTTTATTACTAATTTCTTTAAAATGGTGTGCATTGAATAACAATATAATGAAATATGAGTTTTTAATTACTGCTTGTTTCAGTGATTTCTAGAACTCCGAAAACGTATGAAAAATGCAAATAAACAAATCAATTTTATTTTAAAACGCCAGGAAGATACTGGAAAAAATTTTCTGAGATCATTCGAGACATCTCAAGATCCCATTTAAAACAAAAATGGGATAAAAAACTATTAAGAGAAAAAAAATATGAATGAATTACTATAAAGTGGTCCAAAATAGTGGGAAAACGCAACTTTGACCCCTTTTTCAATGTTCTTGACAGGAAATAACGGGCTTCAAGGCACATGGATCGATACCTATTGGTTTTCCCATTGTAATGAACTTTGAATCAACGAATAATATCAATTTTTGACCGAGTTCTGAAACAATTTGTCCACTTGTTTACAAGCTAATCAGCATTGCTATAGAAATAAAGCAGGGGCTGAACGAGGGGACTTTTGATTGCGATTATCTCGAAACCTGTCGAATTTCCGACAAAAATGATAGGGACCATTTTTGTAGATAATGATAAGATCTTTCTTTTTTATTTAAACAAAAATTCTCTGATTTGCATATTGTGGAAGATATTGGCGGGAAACCAGTTTTAGGGTCCATTTTGGGCCCTTTCCGACGCAGCAGAGTTGGTAAAAGTTTTCGCCTTTGAAAGCAACCGTCAAGACCTAAGAATTGAGCCACAAAGGAAATCTGGACCGACTTTATGACAGGCTGGTCCCTTCAGTTACTGAACTATATGTAAGGCAATATATCATTCTGAGTATTTTCTTCGTTTTTATTTATAATTTACTTTTTGGCTTTTAACTGTTCTGGCAATATTTTGAATTCGAGTACACAAATGAAATTGTTACAAAACTGTTTAGAATTAAGGACCGTTGCGCAATAGTACTGCGCGTGGTTCTGAAACAATTCTCGAACGTGAACCAAAACAAAGCTTATAATAATCAGTGAGAAAAATTCTTGAGATATTATTTCTGTACAACCTTCACGATGTGTAAATTGATTTTTGGGGGTAAAATAAGTGAAATCTGTAACACTTTAATTTACAATGTCTGGAAATTAAATAGCAGGTTATTGAAAATGTTTAAAGAAAGTAGATGTTACATAAATTTAAAAAAATAGTACTTAATAAATCGATTATAATTTGTATTACACCAAAAATATTCGTAAATTAAATTCAGAAGGACGAACCAGTTTTACTTCGCTTTCGTTTCGGCGATTGCCTCTGTTGTGAATCTTTAGTGTTTAAAAATAGCTTAATAAAAAGACCCACAAATTTTGTTCGCTAATTATTATATTAGACGTATTATACAGGGTGTCATCGAAAAGGGGTAAAATATTCCGAGGGGTGATAGTGCTCGTAAAAATATGAAAAAGTTTATAAAAGGTCAGTCAAAATGGAATACAAATATTTTATTCCTTTTTGGGCTGTGAAATATACTCCATATCCTTAAAGTACCGTTACCATCATACAATGAATAACACAAAATATCGCTGTAAAAAAAATGTTAAAGTAAGAAGAAATAAGAAACTATATACTTCCTATTAGATTAGAATATAAAGAAAAGAAAATTAGTAAATCAACATTATACAGGGTGGGGACTTTAACTGGCGCAAATTCCCTACAGCCTCAGGTTGAAAGATGCGGATAAAACGCAAAAACACGCCAATTGAGATTTTTTGTAAGCTTTCCGGTCATACCAAAAACATTTTTTTTTTCATCCCCTTTAGAGGGGTGAAACCCACCCCGACCTATTTTTTTTTAAATTGGTACCACTTACGGTACCTTGTTGGAAAGGTCTTTCCAAAAGAAAATTGATTGTGCCATTTCATTTTTCATTTTAACTGTTATGCTATTTTCTAGCGTGAAAAAAGAAGAATCGGGGACGAAATTCAACAAAAATTAGTTGTGTTTTATCTTAAAAATTTACACAAAATTCAACCATTCAGCTTGAAGCCTTTTTAATGTTTCTGGTGTAATTTGCCGAATTTCTTCTCTAATTCTATCCTTTAGCTCTTCAATATTATTGGGTCTTGTGGCGTATACCTTAAATTTTAAGAAGCCCCATAAAAAAATCTAATGGAGTAAGATCAGGAGATCTAGCTGGCCATTCAATAAATCCCCTTCTTCCAATCGACCTGTTCTGGAAAAAGTCATTTAAGAACTGTCGTACATTGAGAGCGTAATGGGGTTGAGCCCCATCTTGTTGGAAGAAAATTCTTTGATCAATGGTTCCATCTTCTGTCGGAAACGTTTGAATAAGTTCAGGTACTAACGTATTTTGTAAAAATTCCAAATATCTGTCGCCTGTTAAATTTTGGTCAAAGAATATGGGTCCAATAATTCTATATCCAATTATTCCAGCCCATACGTTGATTTTTCCTTGATATTGACTATGCTGCTCAACTTTCCAATGTGGATTTGTTTCTGCATAGTACCTACAATTTTGACGATTTACCTAAAAATGAAGACACAAAAGTTAAAGATCTTTGATCACTAACGTTCCTAAAGCGTACATATTTAACAATATTGTTGCGAGTTATCGATAGGTGCCTAATCAAAAAGACTCACCTCTCCAATTAAGGTAAACAATATCCAAACCGGTAAAATATTTCCATCATCGATTTGTCTCATTATGGGATCATCTTCCATCAACTCATGCACAGGTTTCATTTTGAAGGGTTTTTTACCAGCAGATTTCAAGATAGCCAATACAGTTTTATGGCACAAATCAAATTCCCTACTTACTCGTCTGGCAGAACTGATTGGATTTTCCTCAAATGTTAGAAGAACATTTAGTCTAGTGTCTTCGTCTACTCGTTGTGGCCTTTCTCGAGGAATTTGCCGTAAATGCCCGTGCAACCTGAAATGAGCCTCAATTTTGCCTACTGTAGCCCGGTGTAACGGAGGCAATTCTGGATGTCGCGCTTGAAATAATGCCGCAACTTCTGCTTGGGTACGCATCCGATCCCCGAACCCAATCATCATCATAATTTCTATTTTCAAAGTTTCTGTTAAATACGCCGGCATTTTTAACGAAAATGAATAATACTAATTCGACAGACAATAAATTGATTCATTGCAGCCTTACAATTGATAAAAATGCGATAATTTTTTTGTACCTATACTAAAAAAATGGCACAATCCATTTTCTTTTGGAAAGACCTTTCCAACAAGGTGCCACAAGTGGTATCATCCCATTTAAAAAACTGAAGTCAGGGTGAGTTTTACCCTGTAAAGGGGGTGAAAAAAAACTCAGTCGACGTGTTTTTGCGTTTTATCCGCATTTTTCAACCTGATAAAAATATAGAAAATCACTAACCACTAACAAATAATATTTAAACCATGCTTTAGATAAGGTAGCTATCAAATTCTAATTCACATATGTTTTACTAAATTCAAATTTAAGATGACTTATTGAATAAGCACTTATCTTTTGGGAAGTTAAGGTAATATACGGAATGTAAAACTAGGTTATCCAGGCAACTTCCACAAAGGGATTCGGGATCCTTATTCGTAATTCTGCAATGTGTATGATCTTGTGATAAATGGTATTCAAACTTGAACTCGAAATTGTCTAGAGATTGGACCAAAACGTCTTGAGATGAATTCAAATCACGTCTAGAGATGAATCAAAAAAACTGTCTTCAGATTGAACCAAAACAACGTCTAGGTATAAATCCATAAAACATCTAGAGATGAATCAAAC